TATAAGACTTCTTCAATTATTTTATTTTCTAAATTAAAAATATGAATCAATAGAATAAGAGTAGTTAAAATATTTAACTCTGTTTCTGATAAAGTTTTCTTAACTTCATTACTTATCTCAATTTCAAATAAATTATCTAAAGAATTGTTAAAACTATTTTAGCTATATAAGCTTTGCTAATTATTAGGTAATTCAGTATTAGGATTCTTGAAGAAATAATTAATGATAGTTTGTATTTGACTATTAGATAATTCAGAAATAAGGTTTTTACTATATATTTTAATATATTTAATTTTATCTACTCCTATCTTTTTGAATTGCTTATGAATCTTTCTAGCTCTATATATCTTTTTGTATAAATTTTCTTATTTAGTATTAAAGATTTGCTTAATAATAAAATTATAAATTATTTTTTTTGCTTTTTTTTTACTAATCTAGTTTGTTCTTATAATCTTTTTAATCTGATAATAGAATTTCTTAAAATAGTTATATAAGCATAAATTTTAGCTTGATTTGCTTTTAATATTTTATTTTCTGTATTATATATTTTTTCATATAAGTGAGCTATTATTTGTAATATATCAGATATTTCTTGGCATTTTTCTTTCTAAACTAGAAGCAAAATTTCTATTACATAATTTTTTCTAAATTGTAGCTGTAGTTCTAAACTTTGCTTAGAAAAATTGGTAGTAAAATCAAATACATCTTGTACAACATCTTGTATTATTTTCTTTTTGTATAATTGACTAAGGTTTGTCAGTATATTATTGAATATAAGAAGCTTTGTTTCTCTATTCCTCTCTTTTATCTCTTTACTAACCTTTTCTTTATATGTTGTATTTAGAAATTTATCTGCTTCCTTATCTTTTAATGATTTAGATTCTGTGCAGAAAGATGATGCAGATTCTAAGTTTTGGTTAATTTTACTAAGATTAGATATTATAGAAATAATATTTGCTATCTGTTTAGAAGTATTATTAAGATCTGTTTTAAAAAAAATAATATTCAGTACTAGGTTTTAGGATATAGAGTCTGTATCAATTTCTTTGTCAATATGAATTTTAATATTTGAGATAGATAATTGTGAGCTACTCTTTAGCTGAGAAATTACTAGTAATTTTAAGCAAATTGAAGATTGCAAAATATTAATATTCTTTTGTAAAGTGATGGTTAAATTCTGGTTCTCAATTTGAGAGGTAGATTCATGTTTTTCTAGTTTGGAAATTGGTAATAATAGTGAGCAGGCCAATAATTGTAATTCATACTTCTTAAACTCTTGTTCTAAATTAGCAACTGTATCCTTAAGTTTAGAATTTTTTGTCTGACTTTGTCTTGCATTCTCAGCATATTTCTTCACAAACCATTCCAATTCTATAATTCTGTTATTAAGCTCAATATCTCTTAATTTCATATATAAATCTTTCTCTTCTATAACCTGTTTTAACTTTACATTTTCAATCTCAATTTCAGAATACTTCTTTCTAATCTCAGTGATCTTAGCTACAATCTTAGAATTTAAGGGTAGAGGATACATAGATTATTTTTATATAGTAATATATAGTATTTTGAAATTTTCATATAAAATTGAAATATATTACTTATAAAACTTTTTTAAATTACA